ACACGATGTTATTGTAGTCCAGAGAAATTGTTAGTATTTTACAACTACTCGTGAATTCAAAGGTTTCTTATAGTGACAAAAGTCAATATCAATATCATCAATTCAGCCATTAAACTAACAAAACATTTTATTTATTCCGCCTTCCCCTTTCCATCATCGGGGGACTAGACGTAGGTTTGGATTCCACACCTTATATGTTGTGGATATTCGAAATACTCGCACAGAGCGTTACGCTTCCACATTTATATTGCGAATGGCTATGGAGTGGAATTCCCTGCCTGCAGATTTGTTCCCTGAACGTTATAACTTGGACTTTTTCAAGGCGAGAATGAATACGCTTTATTTACTCCATCGTCGACCTCATCGTCACTTTCCATCAGATGGAGGTCAAATGCGCACTTACAATTGAATAAAAAAAAACATTAGATACTTATACGCAAAAATCTGTGGAATAATATTAAAAAAAGTATAATGTTGTCCCTATTGTGTTTTCCATAACAGGCGTTATCGCAAACAATCTTCTCCGTAGCCCCAAATTATTAGATTTTAAAGAAACCCTCATTATCTTACAAAAAACTGTATATTTAAATACATGCCGAATTATCGATTAGTTCACGCAGATAGAAAAAGACCAAATAGTTCTTATTAGAATACACCCTGAACATAGATACACACCATGTTACATTTATTTGCTTTTGACCGTAAATCGCACCTATAGAGCCAACTAACTTTATATTCTTCTTTATCTTTAACTTTATATTCTATCGTCTTTGTGTAGTATTTGTTGGGTGTGATATGAGTGTTATTGTTGAGTATCGTCTTGTACGTGTAATTGAAGCTAGCTGTTTATACATGAAATGGTAAGGGAAAGCTGTCACCTATTACAAACAACCCTACGTTCCTACCTAACAGCGTAGCCCTAACTCTACACTACTATATAGGTATACGTATATAGATAGGTAGAGGAAGCCTGTTACCATGCGACCTAAGGTAACAAACGGAAGGTAGGAAGGATAAGGGGTGCAAGGAGTGGATTTTGTCACTGCCATTCTCATAGACTCACAAGACTGATCATATAAGCTAACGGCTAAAGGGGTCTTGGCCGCAGTGAGAGGATGTTGTAGTTAGGAGAGTTCCGTCGTCAATGAGACAGCGTTAATATCTGGATTCAAAGAGATCTTTATTTCTAAAAACCAGATTATTTATACAGATTCTATTTACATGTGTGCGTGTATAACTACAATATAATTGTTAAATGTAAAACAAAGGAATACTCAGTAGGCTTTACTTGCACATTGCTATTCGGTCAGTGCACTGCTGAGTAGTCTATTATCGTCACGTGGTAATTTATGTCTGGTCGGGTTGTCTGTTCATGCCACCTGAATGTGAACAGCACCCATGGTTCCCAAGTTTGGCACCCAACTTTTCCGGAGAGAGGTCTACGAAATTAGTTGGATGACATTTTTGTGCTTAAGAAGGAGATTATAAAATTTCACATATACATAATTTGTTGCATGTACTTTGATGTGACATAAGGATTTTGATGTATGAGCACATGTAGCTTTATTACATGAAGGGTTTAAATGTCTAATTATAGCACAGAGAATGTGGAAAGTATGCACAAATACAGGTCATAGAGTAAAAAGCATGACCATCGCAGTGACAATAGTTGTATGCGGTTTGTATATAGCTTAAAATAATGTAATAAGTATATGTAAATATTAACTTATTTATTTATTTATTTACTTATTCAGGATATTCCACATAGCTTTAGCTTTAGCTTTCCACATAACTTAACTTTATACTTAAGAAATTGCCTAGTCGAAAAATAACAACTTTTACATTTTAACAAATTGCTCGGATAACTTTTTTATTCTTAAATAGGAAAGGAGAGTTACAAAATTTCGCATTTACATAATTTCTTTCATGGGCTTTGTATCATTTTTGTGATTTTCATATCACAAAGCATTTTTGACCTTGTATGATCACGTGTGGATTTCACGAATTTTAAATACATTCAGAATAATCAGACAGTTAATGCGTAACTATGTTGTACAATTCCTAATAGGGTCTTATTACAACACACCTTCGACGTAGACACACGATACTGCATTTATTTGAGTTCGGCTCATAAATAGAGATGGAAAAAACTGCTTACTTGAAATGTTAAAACATTGTGCTTTTTTAAAAAGAAAGCGTTCTTATAAAGGCGCTTTTCACTTTAAACTTATAAAATCGTTTAGAAAAACGTGTAAGCGCATAGACTCTTATGTTAAAAAAGCGTGCAACGTTGTGTTGATAGCGAAAAGCAAGAGTAGACCACTAAAGGTTTTATAAGTAAGTTTATTAGTAAAACACGAGTTTTATTTTTATTTATAAAATTATTATTCACATAGACGAATTAATTTGTTTAGAAAACATAGGGGGGACAGGACTTGAAATTTACGCACGTTGTAAAAAAATGAAAGCCTTTTTAAGTACTTTTCGTTTAAACGCCCACCTCTACTTATGAATACGGTTAAATCAAGCCAAAAGGCTGAGAAAAGCAAAATATATTAATTACCTTGCCTCAAACTAAGGAACTGTGAATACCAGAACAACGAAATTCAACCCATGGCTCTACACACACCCAGACCAGAAGCAATTTAGAAATCATTTTTCAAAGTGCTCTTTAATCTGCTCTCTGTGCAAACCGTTGAACCATATAAATGGATGTCTAGTAGTCTCTTAATCCTGTAACTAGGACATTTGAAGATATACTCCTCTAAAAACATGTTCTTACATGAAATAAGTTGCTATTTCAGGGGAAAAGGTGACCCATAATCCGCTGACGAAAAAAATCCGGTTAACTGCGCTAAATGGACGCTGCCCAAAATGAAAATTCGTAAAACATTTACGAATTATTCCATAATATACCCTCGGTATTACACAAATTACTCCTAAGAATTCTACATTTTTGTAAAAAAAAACATCTTTACCTGCTAAGACTTCAAACTATACTAAGATATCGTTGTTTACCCGTAAACGTGCAAGTATCTGCAAATGCTATTTTCTTTATAGCAAGTGATTTGGACTATACTGTATCCTAGTCACACACACAAGACATAGAAAAAAAATATATTTAAAAGTCCCGTGTGCCGAGGAATTTCTTTAACAATAAATTAAAAAATTAATGTGTTTAAAAAAACATAATTATAGGTATTTCCGCATTTAAATGCTAAAAAGCCGAAGCTACACCGAAAGCCTAGTTTGGAGGAAGGCCAAAAAAAGGTTGTATTATGTATGTAATTATGATCGCGGTTCCAATGGCCACAATACCAGATCGTTTAAAATGTCTTCAATCTTCTTTTGATTTCGACTAAACTCTCTGGTATTTGTGGCGAGTAGTTCATATGAACGTTGTCATCATAAGTCAACATTTTTTAGTGTTCCTCTAAATATGTATGTCCATGAGTATATTTCCACAACAGTGAATAAGTTCGATATAACATCAGGTCTACGAAGCACACTGAAAAATAGTCATTGAAATAAACAAGATGTTGATTAAAGTGTTAAAGCAACTTGTTTCATGATTATGAATAATTTTTATGATTGCACAAACAATTTAAAATAATGACTTCAATCATTTTGTTGATGCTATCAAGAATTTTAATAGGCTTACTTGATTAAAATTTATTTTTCAGTGCAACAGATATTCAATTCAAAACACGATTATGATAATTAATCAAATTCAACAATCTTCCTTGTATAGATCATTAGGAGTATATGGGCACGATCTCTTGCAAAACGCTTTCCTCATTTGATATTATAATGTCAGAAAATATTTGCAAATCTACAATTTATCTTCAAGGATTACGCTGATTATCCAGAAGACTAAGTTAAATAAAAGAACAGAGATGTTTGGTAATCAAATTATGCCGCTTTTGTGAAGTCAAAGACTTATTGTACATTCCGCGTTCCTTAAACTTTCTCCTTCATTTACAAAAAAGTCACAAACGAGACGTTCCTTTATAAGCTGCAGAATTTATTAACATTTAAAGACAATCATCTGTTCTGCTCATTATAAAAAAAAAGTTCATATTTTTGACGCTATATATTTACTTACACATTCACATTCGAAGTAGCAACAGGCAAGCCAAGAAATGTTTATTATGATCGCTGCTTGGCGGCAGATCGTCACGTGCATTCCAAACGAGGGATAAAAGCAAATTTTGCTTTGTACTTGGTTACACAAAACTTGTCGGGTGCGCCGAACATGATCAGAATAAACATATTCATTTGAATATTTATGCGATCACCTTACAAAATGCCACGGAGGATCGGGATCCATAGTAATCAAAGCGGGAGCCCAAAACCGATGACCACATCGCCAGACCTGGTTCCAATTTAAATATTCATCACGCGTCTTTAGTTGATAAGTTCAACATGCTCTAGTTGGGACTTATATATTTATTTCAGTGTGACAAGGTCAAAAGCCATGGTAATGAAATAAATTTGACGTTCCGTCTATCAAGAGTCATGGGTTCGAAATAAATTTGACGTTCCGTCTATCGAGGGTCATGGGTTCGAATCCGGACTTGCACCTTTGAGCTTCCGAAATTTATCGTGAGCTTTTCGGTAAAGAAGAATGCCGTGAGGAAACATGTACAGATCTGCAAAGCAATTTAATTATACCTATGTGTGAAACTCCCAATGCACATTGTGTCCGCGTGGGAAGACAACACTCTCATTGTGAGAGGACGTTCCCAGAGCATGCCTTGACGTGTTCTTAAAAATTTAAATTCGACGCTATGTCACATGCGATAAGAATGTTCCAAAGTCCAAAGTGTAACTTGGTTTATTATCGCAGTATCATAAATTATAGACGATGACAAAAATTACAATCAACCAACCAGTCAACCGCGACCAGGGGACCTGTAAAGGGCCCGGAAACGTTGGTTTGTTTGAAAAAAATCCGGAAAAATAGTTTCATTTCCTAAATGTGTGTATTATAATTGCAGATGTGGTGGGCAGTGTGGTGCGTGGCGATGGTAGCCGGGAGTACCGGTGCGGTGCCTGCGCCCTTCTACGATGGAGCCCTGATCGACCCCGTTATCTACCACTGGGGCAATATCTGGACACCCGATGACTCTACTCAGGTAAGACAATAAAAATATTTACTGAAGAATTCAATTGCAACAGTATGTGGTAACGGGCTGGCATGTAGGTCTGAACAGATCAATCCCGGGTGTGTCACTCCCTTAAAATGTGCCCCTTGGTATATCCAACTTATCCCGATCAGATTTACTCTGGTTGGGTATGGTACCAATGGCCAAAGAGAAAGATAGTATGGAGTAGCGAGCTAGTGTCTTCAACTCGACAAAATAGGCGCCTATCGATCGAGTGATCGATAGGCGCCTATTTTGCTAGTGGTGTGTGCAGGGTCCTACTCGAATGGCAACTCCCGCCTGTTCGGCGCATCGATGCCTACACATCACTTTATTTTTTTATTATTTTAGTTTTACCTACAGGTTATAAACATAATTTGAAAAATAAAGTATTCATCATATTATTCTCATGCTATATTGAAATAACCTTTGTTAAATGCAGTACTTACGTATTGATATTTTTACATCTGCCATCGCAGATTGTTATCTCGATTATGGGAGTACGATTATGAAAAAGAAATGGAATGCTGAATAATTCTGAATATGAAGTCACTGTTCTTAAAGCCACCCTAAACACAACAATAAACACGCCTACTATTTGGTGGCATTTTGTAAACATCGATCAAACGCTTCATTTCTGTAATAAACGGCGTGTGCTATGCTATACTATGGAGGTGCACTGCAAGATTATTGGAATGTGTGCGTCCGTACACGGCGTGTGAGGGGTGTGTAAACATACAAGCCGCTACGTTTGTACGAAGTTACCCTACTTGGTATATTATACTACGGTGATACCTAAAGTGAAAAATGTGTTTATTATAGAGCGGCGGTTAGAGTGCGAAGCTCTCGCCTTTTATAATTAAGAAGTTTTCGGGATATACAGGCGTGGAGCGTTGGGAGTGCTTCACTAGCCTGCCAATAAACCGCACGTGTTCCCGGTGTTGAGACAAAATAAAACCTAATTGAAAGCTGACGAATTTACAACATAGTTTCTTTGGTCACTAAAATTATTTTGAATAACTAATATAATTGATGAACTACGGAACCACATACAATTTACCTCTTTATGTAGTTGAAAATATGAAATTTTTACGATTTTTTCCGTGTTGTGTATCTGAAATCAACCCATTATTGATCTAATAGTATCAACGAGTTGACTTTAACTTTCTTATTAATACCCAGTAATAAGTTAAATAATACATGTGGCTAGCAAGTACCTGTATAATATAACCAGTGAGCAAATATCTATTTTGGGGGTGTTTCTTCAGTGTAGTCGAGTGTGTCGTGCTCACAGAGTGAAAAATTGACCATTCTGCTCCCGGCCATGGAGAAAATATAGTTTGTATACACAGTATTTTGTTGATATTTGTCTCCTGTTTGTTTGAATAGTTGAATTTGGACTTGAACAACACAATTTAAAAAAGGTTTTTTGAGTTATTAAAAAAATCTTGTAAGTATTTAGTGAAATTGCACTTGAATTGCAATTCAAGTCTTTTTAGGGGGACTTGATGATATTTTAGGACAAAACTTATATGCAATATAGTAGTTGAAATTTTTGCTTGAACGCTATTTAAAAATATATAAAAAGGTTTTTAATTGAAAAGGTATATTCCAAAATTGAAGACTACGTGTTAGATAAAGATGTACGGAAAGACGACACGACTCTAGATTCCACACAAATTTGATTTAAAATGTATTCCATAGCACTAAGTTTATTTGAAAAGAGCAACGACTTTTTTTTTGTTTTTGACGGGGGGGAAATCTTTATGGATACACCCGAGCCCAGGGGGACTCAGGGGTTATGTGGGGACTCTCCCTCCAGACTGGAGGGCCTACCCCACTAAAACCCCCCCGGGTTTCCCTCTCGCCGGTTGAGTTGGCGCCGTGGGATCAGTGAATATTCACCAGGACGCCGCCCGGTCGCCCTAGCTTACGCCAGGGCTCCCGCGCTAACGGAGGGGCGAGTCGGTTGTCCTCCGACCCGCCCCCCAGACGAGTGAGACCGTGCAATGCAGGCTCCGGAGTCCCTGTCCAGCGAACTGCCTTCGCCTTCTCCCCGTACGTCTGCGCCGGAGCGGGTGCGCGTCCGCCGCGTCCTCGCGCACCCGCTCCGGCGCAGACGTCCCGTCCTCGCGCACCCGCTCCGCGGCCTCCTTTTGCGACATAACCTCGGCAGCGAGAGGTCCTTTTTCTTTTTTTGCCCTACAGTCCCCGTCAGAGTGTGGCGCTGCTCATCCCACCGGCTACACACCTCTAGGGTGTGCTGCGCGGTGTCATCCGCAGCGCCGCACTCGTGGCACGACGGGGACGGTTCCCTCCTCGCCACCTTGTGCAGGTAGTGACCGAAGCAGCCGTGCCCGGATAGCACCTGCACAAGGTGGTACGACAGTGGCCCGTGGGACCGGTTTACCCACTCTACGAGGACAAGGCGGATCGCCTCTATGGTACGAGCGCCGCGCCATAGGGGGGATCCGCCAAGAAAAGAGCAACCCCTAAATATCCTTGCTTGTTCTTATCAGGGAAATTAGCATAGTGAAATGAGCAGTAGCTTAAAAAATTACGTTTTCAAGTGTAAATTTATTTGACCCATGGAATAAGTGATTATTTGATCTTTGACCTAGAGGTCAAACTCAGTGTAGTCGCTTTTTCGCTACTATAAACTATATCATAAGTTTCCTATTGCAGTTGACTGATCACAGCGTGGATGCGTGGCCATCTTCAAACGGTGTCAGCGGAGTCAATGTTCCACGTTACGAGGTACATTGCTATTTGCTAATTTATATTTTATTGCATTTTATGACTTATTCTAATCAATCTTTGTAACTACGGAAGATTGTAATAAAAAAACTAAGCGTGTTAGCTGAAAAAATCGAGACGAAAAAAGCAAGAAATTCACTTAACAAATGTCAAAAATTGTGGACTGAATTTCTAACTCCATATCGCCTAGATAGTCTTTTGTTTCAATGAATTATTCACAAAATAAGTAGTTATATATTAAATTCATGCTATAGGTTATTGACTTGGTATGAATTTTGAAATTGTGTTTTGTGTAGAATGCTTACATCATATCAATAATTAAAGACAAAAAATAGGAATAAGACATCGTCACAGTCGCGGGTAGTAGAAGTATGAGACCAGCGCAGTGCCTTGCTATATGGCACAAACTGCGGCCAGCCTACCCAGTGAATGATTATGAAGATAGAAGCTTACTTTTCTGAGGAACCATATAGAAGTTTTTAAAAATCCATATACCTTCATAAATTCCGGAGAATTTTTGTATCGAATACTGATCCAACAATGTCGTAGGTAGATACCTAAAACTTCTTCTTTTTAAAATTTCTTTGTTTTGATTCGAAGAATTTTATACGGGCGGCAGCAAATCACGGTACACTTTGATGGGTCTTGTTCCATTGCTCTGGAGGCGTTATTCGAACTTAAGTGCATGTATATCCTGATGTGCTCTTCACTGCACGTCAATTGTAGTAAACAAATGCATAGTATCGTTCGTAGTTAATATTTACTTTACTGCATTAAAATAGTGTATACTACATTAAAATAGTGTATACTGCATTAAAATAATGTATAATGCATACGTGTGTAGCTTACTTGAATTTGGCAGTGTTATGTGGACAGGGGTCCATATAGCACTTACGTAAATACTATTGAACGCATTCAGAAGGTATTTATTAGACATCTAAAGTATAGAACTAAAAAACAGTTTTTATCGTACGCAGAAGCATGCAAATATTATCCATCGCATGTATAACCTTGAAGATCGTAGAACACTGCTGGACTTGACTTTCCTTAGTGACGTGGTCAACAGTCGCCTCGACTGTTGCTTCCTAACTTCATCACTTGGACTAGAAGTGACCCGACGAACTCCTCGTTGCCCCATTAATAAAGTTTTCTGTGTTCCTGCCACTCGTACAATGTATGACAAGAATGAACTGATTTCACGCATCGACAGCCTTTATAATACCACCTATAGAGAGATTGATATTTATGCGAACTCAAAAATGGCTTTCAAAAATTAAAATAGTATAAAATTAAATAAATAGACGATTGAATTGAAGTTAAGTTAAATTAATTAATATAATTTAGTTTTTCGTATGCACACACATATACACACGCAAACGCACACACTCGCTCTCACACAACAACACCTTTTCACTAAAACTCATCCATACACTGATTTCAATAATATAATCTACACAATCAATTAAGAAGTACTACTACTAATGCAAATTTCACAGTTATATAAATACTTATTTAGCTAGTTTTTAGAGTATAAACATGTCTAAATTTATTATTAGCGATAATGTACAAGTTTAAGAAAATATTTGTGGTATACTGTAATTAGCGTAGTTGTATGGATTGTTTATCTTTCAAATTGTTAATGTATTGTAAGCTGTTGGATGCCCGAAATAAATAAATAAATAAATAGTATACATATAATGGTAAGTACCAAGAAAATATTGCTTCTTAGTGCGTGAATTTGCTTTGTGTCAGCTTTACCTTCATAACGCAGAATATAAGAGTCGCAAAAAGTGTTGGTTCGTCCAAGTTGAAACAGTTTAATTGTTGACAATATTATTGGTATATTTTTATAAATGCATCAGTACCTTCCAAACACTACTATTGGCTGTGCCCTGTTCAGGGTCCATAATTTGATCTCAATATATGTAAAACATCTGTAATGTACATTATGGAATGCAAATAAATAAATAAATAAATAAAAACACAACTTTATGGACAGGATAATTCTTCTCTCAACGCGTCTAACGCTTTGTAGTTAATATAATAAAAGATAGGTACTATAAATTACACTTTCGCCTTTAGAAGAAAGTAATCTCTATAATTGTATGATACTGAACGGCTGACCTCAACACGATTTTGATATTTAATTCTCAGATATTCAATGCTTTTAATTAAACGGCCCTTGTAATTAAGGTAACAAATTACAAGAGATTGGTAAAAGCTTCCATTTCTGAACTCTAAATTATTTCACGTTATTGCCGGCTGGGCTTCGCTTTGAAGTATTTTTGTTATTATTTATTAATTGTCTATGAAAACTAATCTCCAAACTCGAGATAGTCGACGAATTAAAGACCATAATTCTTCGATTGCTTGGATATGTAAAGAGGATGGGAAAGCATCATGAGATGAGCCAAAAAGACGCACAAAATACAATTTTGGCTCATGTTTGGCCAAAATCTGAACTAGTGGAATGTGAAGATATCTCATATCTAGCAGTCCAAGCATAAACTGTGGAAGAGATGTGCCCTGGGTTCCACGAGCTACGTTGCTTCATAGATCTGTAGACACTCAAACAAGAAAAGAATGATAATCAATAGTAAACCTGTAATAAACTTTGTGTAAGAAAGTAGTTATTGTTTATTTTTTAATTCCTTTAAAATATCCTTTTTCAACATCTTAACTTATGTATTACATACACCAAACACGTTGAGGATTTTTACGGAAGAAGTTCGTCAAGGTATTCTACAGGATATGTTGTTAGTTAGATGCGTAAGTATCGCGATATATAAATAGCAACATACTTCTGCAAGCTTTGCTATACTCTAAGCTCTCCGCCAAACCCCAGAAAATATTGTGCTTGTTCATTATTTAATAAATTGTGCGGGGTAAAGGAGGAGAGCGGGCGTGGGAAGCGGGGGGGAACAACGTTGTCCATCGACATGCCCATGCGCCTGCTTCGTGACAAACTCAACCAGATCATGACCGAGAAGATCAAGAACTCCAACAGGGAGTATTTGAAAACCATCGGAAAGAGGGGTGAGAAATTTTCGTGTTGTTATTCATGAGGTTTCCAGAACATATCTTAGAATCACTGTTTTAACAAACGCCTTTTTTTAGATGATTCAATCATACATATATTATTCTTTACTAACCTATCATACAGTGTCATACAGTAAATATAAAAAATGGCCCAAATCCCTCGTCTAATGTATTATTCTTATTTTATCACATAATAATGCTTGCGTACTCCCTTATTATTTATTACTTTTATCTGAAATATCGCACAGAACAGTACGGCACAATACCTACAGTACGCTACGGTATGTTACATTAGCGTTTCAGTCGAATATCCGTATAATTTGCCTTTTTTGTCTTAAGAATGAATTCTTTGCAATTTAAAAATTTGTTTTTTTAATTAGGTTTAGGTACAACTTAAAACACGTAAGTTATAACCAAAAAGAGTAAAGGTCTGGCCTAAGGCAACCTGCGGACTTTCAACCGAAATTGAAATTAATTATAATCATAACTAGCAGATGATCTATCATATTACTGTCCTATGCGGTAACCATCGATCTTTGACACATCTTAACATTTCTAACACATATAGATTTACAATTCAGTTTTACTTGAAATAAGCCATTAAGCATGTTTTGCTTACAATACTTTTACTTGTATATTGGTATTTAGTTTGTTTTACTTGTAGATTAGTATTTAGTTAAATGCCTTACTTTTTTTTTCATTTTACAGGTGCTGCATGGGTGCCCCAAGGATTAGAGAGAGCCATCTAAAACTGCGAAGAAGCCTAATGCGTAATTTACTTCTATTCAATAGATGCCTTGTGATTAAGAAACTTCTTGTACAATATGTAATATGCATTGCATAAATTGTGCGAACTTACTTAAAGCATAGTATAATAAAACAAGTATGGTAACTCAATGCAAACGTAGCAGCGTGGCGCCGCGTGTCGTATATGCACGCAAACATTCGTAAAATCTCGAGATGCACTCACGTTGCATAGCGCTGGTCGTCACGCGCGTCTTTCATTATTATGCTAATGTGTCCGTATTAGGGTTATTGCGAATATCAGCATCCGCATCTGCAACCGCGGGTAATATGCATAAATTAAATATCCGCATCCGCATCAACAACCGTATTCATTGATGCTGTTATTCATTGCGAATGTTCGAGTCCTGACATGACCTAAAAGGAAGGCTGGAATAATTTACAAACCTTCCAGTAACAGACTGTAAGCCGAAAAAGTGGTTCAACTGTTGTTTTTAAAATATACTTTGATAAAATTACAGAACGATTAAACGAGCGGCTTGCATACATACAAGTCGAGATGCTCCGTTTGAATGGAGTTGCCATACTTGTCAATATACTTAAAGTATATTGTACATAAAAGAAATTATCGATTGTCGATTTCACGAGCATTTAGAATTATAAAATAAAATGTTTTATTTAACGTAACGTAATAAGAATAACCTAAATATTTCTATATTACCATGTAGAGATCTGTAGTGTTATATGACGTATTGTAAAAGTTCCCATGACGTGGTATTAATGACAATGTTTACTTCCAGACCTTGTAGATTGTGCTAGACATACGAAATAAATATTGTTTAGAAAAAAGTGTTTTATTTCTTGTTAAAGGTCCCTTTTTATAGAAATCATATTTTCTGTTCGTATTAAAATAAGAGGTTTATCATACTCATAGATATACTCGCGCAGATACATCATTTAGCCGTTGTCTATTACAGTGATATACAATATGATATATTAACAATATCAGCCCAATATATCAATATATTTTGTTTTCGACAGGTGTATGTCTGAAATTGTGGTAATGACGATGTTAACATGCTTTTATTTTGTTCTTCTTTAATTTGTTTGGCCCCTAGAGCGCCCTACTACGAGTGCTGCAGCAGCGCCACTACTAATTTTCATGCAACATTTAGAAGCACAGTTGCAGCGTCACTGTCAGTCATTGTCGTGATAAACGCGCGGCATTTTTGTATTCAAAATTACTGAACTAAAAATTACTGAAGCCATGGCACTGCAGCAGCGCCACTACTCATTTTCATAAATCACTTAAAAATGTAGTTACAGCGCCACTTTCGTGATACGGCAGCGCCTTTTTTTGCAGTGACAATTAGTGAACTAAAAATTATTCAAGCTGTGGCTCTGCAGCCGCGCCACCACTAATTTTCATACAACATTAAGACGCGCAGTTGCAGCGTCACTGTCGTGATACGCGTGCGCCATTTTTGCAGTCAAAAATTACTGAAGCGCTACGGACTGCAGCGCTTCCACAAGCGTCTAATTTGAAGGCGCCATTATTATGCTTCATGTATAATAATATAATGTAATAGAAATGTTGCTAAATAGAAGTTCTCAAAGCAAAAGACAGCTGTAATTGGCCACAAGTAAAGCACTACAAATCAAAGTCAAACACCACTCAAGAATCACAGAACTCTATACACCAGAAGCGAATGTAATTCAATTAATTTCAATGTAGGTACTAACTACTTAATTAGTCTGCCTTATGCTGGCATTAGTATCGCTTTACCAGTGAAAGCTGAGCACATTCAAATACTATCAAAACCACACCAAACACCACTTTAATATCAGGTCACAGTAGTTATTTGATACAGAGGGGAAAGCTACAGAATAATAATATTGGAAATGTGAAATTTTTTTCGGACGTTTTTGCCAATGACTGAAAATCAGGTTTTATATTTTTTTGACACCAATGGTTTTTTTACCGCATAACTGAAAGAGAGAAAAATATAAGAAATGAGGTAACTCTATATCGTGAAATACTCTTTTAAATAAATTTTATTTTATAATTTCATATTTTACCACATGACAACTAAATTAAAAAATAAAATTAAGTAAAATTAGCAGTCTGGACGCCTTAATTAGAAAACGCGAAACATTTAGTGAAATTAACAAATAAATTATGTATAATAGACATTAAATATAAACATTATTTTAAAGCAGTTTATTGAACCTTTATTTTCCAAGTTACTAAAGCTGATTTCAGAACCTTTTAGGTCGTAATCAGACCAGGTGTAACTTCATGGTGCTCATATTACGTTTTATAGTGACGCAAGAAAGAGTTTATGTTGAACGCCGCGTGTCGCTTAGAATTCTGCGAACCAACGCTGGTCGTAAGCACTATATGAAAACTGCCTTACGTAACAAATACTACAAAGACGACAGTGACTTATGCAATGATATTACTTATATGACTTCTATATGATAAATACGAGCACGTGGTACGGAGAGCGACTCATCTCCCTTTACAACTGAGCTTAAATTCATCTTTATCCTACTTATTACATTACATTATTTATTTTATCGAATATCATGTTTTTATTATCACGCTATACATATTTTGTCAAGAAAATACTCTAAAAGTTTGGTATTAATATTGATACAAAGATCGAACAAATAAAAAGAAAAATTCCTTCTATCCGGCGGGATTCGAACCAGCATCTGTTTGCCAGACCGGGGGCTAATCGCTCTCCCAACTGAGCTACGGAACAAATTAGCAGACCTCATTCACGGTGATCAGCCGTCAAATAGTATCACCGTGATTTTTTACGAAGGAACGACGTTCCAAAATCACATAGTTTGTATTTCTGTTCCACTAACTGTCTCCATCACTCACATCATGCCATAAGACGTATTTTGCAAACAAAATCATGAGTGATCTCCGTTCTGTAGAGACTGACGACGGCGCTACTCATTGTAATTCGGTTTTATTTCTAAATTCTAATTGTGAATCAAAAAATTATTAGATCAGTGTAAATATTGTAAATACAATTAAGATACATAGTCTTATTAACGAAAAAGTAAAGGTTATTGCGGATCAATTTTTGTAATGGAATTTAATAATTTGGAAGACTATTAGAAAGTAGCCGCTTGGCGTGATGTAAATGACAGGACGTGACAAAATCACGGTGATTTGTCACTGTGATTTTTTTGTAACTAGAACGGTAGTCACGGTGATAGAAATGTTTTTCCCCATGTCTAAACTACGAACATAATATATTACATTAGTTCAGTACATTGAACAGGTCAACATTATTGTTAAAGACACGTATGATAGTTATATATCTGACTTCCTTGTTAATTAGCTATATCAATTTCCATGGTACTAATACTGACCTACTTTTCTTCATAAAGGCCGCCCTGCATACATAAATTTGTATTTATTACAATTTGTGTACTATTCAGACTGCTTTATAATAAAGGCTATAAATAACTGCTTTATAATCATAAATATTGATATAATTTATACTATACTTTACAAAACGTCTTTTATTTCGTTTGTTCATGAAGACCTATGGATTCTACTTAGATTTCATATGGAAAGTAGTTGACAGAAGTAAAATATGCTCTATTATACGCATTATTATATTATTGTATAGGTTTATAATGTTAAAAATGTTATTTAAATTAATGGGCGTTCTTGACTGTGTATTAAACACAGTAAACAAAGCAAAGCATCAGCAGTAAGGTCACCAATCACTGTTGTTTTTTATTGTCAGTTGTCGAAAATATAGAACTATGGGTATTCAAGTGGGGTATCCGTCCACGTGCCCTACGGTATCACGTCGTCTGAGACTTGCCCGTGCATGTGACAGTTATCCTTTTATTTTCCTCATTCCATATCGGGTACTGACATTTTTTATTGACACTGACCGTTTTATTTATTATCCGAGACAAATACAACGATGAACTTGGTTGCATATTTTTTGCTTATGAGTGATATTTTCTAACATATATACATCATTTTCATTATAAATAGACTTTTATTATTGTATGGGCTTCAGTCGTCAATAGTTGCGATATTATCAGACATGTGCGTATTTTATTTTGAATATTTACGACACATTTACGTATTACGTACAAAGAAATTTACGTATTTTTTAAGCGACTTTAAAAAAAGGAGGAGGTTCTGAATTCGACTATGTTTTTTTTATATGTATGTTACGCGATAACGCCAGCATTTGTAAACCGATTTTGATGATTCTTTTTTTGTTGGTGATAGGGTACCTCAGTATTGGCCTCATTTAAATTTGAAGAAAATATTTCACCTCTAAGGGTGTCAAACTAGGGGATGAATCCGATTTCGCGGACATTCCGGTTACCGATTTAAAAAACACTTGGCAAATAGATGTAACGACTTTTGAGGTCGGTTGATTTAGTACTCTGTACTGAGATTATTCTTGTTGTAATATGGTCATATATTATTAACCGACTTCAAAAATGGTAGGAGGCTCTTAATTCGACTGTTTTTTTTTTGTGTGTGTATTACGCTATTACTCCGACATTTGTGAACCGATAACGAGACTCTTTTTTGTTAGAACTGATTTCAATGAAACTTGGCAAATATATATACAATTCCACAAACTATTGAGGTCTGTTTTTTAAAAAGTTTATTATTAGTTATTAAGGTTTGCAAACTGTCATATCTGATGTAGCAAAATGCTGGTAGATTTTCTTGAAAAGTTACTTTGGCTATATAAGACAAAGTAACTTTTCAACTTATATCTTACTACAAATTGAGCGTCTTGCAAAAGTAGTAGAAGTCAGTTCTAATACAGCAAGCCTCTTGTTTACTTGTCCCCACTTCATAGAGGATTGTCGGTCCAAATAGATACATAGATATAGACTTATTCACATAGTTAGTAAGCAAATATCTTTTATAACATATAGATAAATGACAAATATATTTTGCGTAGACACTGTCAGAACTTCGAGAGGAGCATACACGGCCAAAGCGCAAGATGCCATCACTGTCCATCAACAACCCCATGGAGGTGCTGCGGCAACGGCTGATGCTGGAAGTGGCCCGCAAGCAGATGCGCGAAGCAAACCAGCGGCAGGCTCTCCGCAACAGGGACTTCCTAAAGAGCGTCGGCAAACGAGGTAAGTACAACAGGCGTTATAAATACAACAACTCTAAAGTAACGGATAGTACAATCAAGCGTAATTTAGCAAATATTATTTATACAAATTGAGAAGTCATATATTTGGTGTGTGTTTTAGACTGTTAGTAATTAACAGTATATCTTTATAAACCGTTGCAATAACTTCGACTGTTTTTTTTTTTCGTTTACTGGACATTTCTTTTATAATACCTAGTGACGGTATTATAAAAGAACAAGTCCTGCGCCTGGTGGTAAACGACACGCATATCTATAGCAGTTGCAGTGCCTTAAATGGCAAAGATCTTAGGGGCACTGCCACTGCGCCCGTCACCTTGAGACATAAGTTGATAAGTCCCATGTGCCTGTGTAATTTCACCAACACCCTTACCCTTCAAAACCGAAACACAGTCATGCTAACATTATACTGCTTGGCGGCTGAAATAGGTAAGATGGCAGTGCTTGGGGACTGTAGGGCAGGACCTCTCGCTGCCGAGCGTGGTTGCCGCCATGCTCGATAGCAAGGAGTCCTGTGAGGCGATCGCCTCCTTTTGCGCAGAGGTTATGTCGCAAAAGGAGGCCGCGGAGCGGGTGCGCGAGGACGCGGCGGACGCGCACCTGCTCCGGCGCAGACGTACGGGGAGAAGGCGAAGGCAGTTCGCTGCTCGCCTGATCCCCTAGTGAGACCAGAGGGCTTTGGACAGAGACTCCGGAGCCTGCATTGCACGGCCTCACTCGTCCAAAAGGAACTCTACTGCCACTAAATATATACATACGAGTACTCTTTGTTAATTTACTTTAATGTTATATAATGGCAGCATTTCACATGGCTACTTGTATTCTCTATTGGGTGTTTGATGTACTTCAAAAAGTATTTGACGTTCAGACACGCAAACACCGGCAAATATGACCGTCTACACATGAAGCCGAATAAGGAGTTAAAATAATGAATATGACCGTAGCGTAGACGATTTACCAGCGCGTGGTAATGCGAGTTGGGTGTTTGATGTATTTATCGAATACGCAAACAAGACAAATATTTTGTCACACATGCTACCTACACATGGTGATAGTTTGCCAAATATATCAAATATGCGAATAGGAATAGCCATGTGGAGTACCACCATTATATAAACACTAACCGAATCACCAAACTTCAAACCGGAATATCTTTAATACCAGACTTCTCAGAATAGTAAAACTGAAACCAATTTTGTTCAGGAATTAAACTCTACATATATGTATTAGTAAGTATAAGTTTATTTACTATATTTATATATACATAAATTTATGTAGGTATAATAAATATATCGTTATTTATTAAATATTTCATAAATTACTATGTGTTTTTATTTAATTTATTTATTTTGTATTTTTTTTTAATTTACACAATTTACTTTTATTTTTATTTTTTCTTTGTAAAATTAGCACACTACTTCTCCCGCTACGATTAGCTTTCGTCTAACTCAAAGGTTGTCTGGAAGAGATCGCTCTTACCGATAAGACCGCCTTTGCCCACATTAGTTTTAAGTTGTTTATGTACTATTCTTGTTCTTGTGTGTGAGCAATAAAATGTTTATTTATCTCCATATTTAACCGACTTCAAAAAAAGGAGGAGGTTCTCAATTCGACTGCATGTTTTTTTTTGTATGTATGTTACGCAATAACACCGGTATTTGTGCACCGATTTTCATGATTCTTTTTTTGTTGGAAAGAGGGTACCTCCATAGTGGTTCCATTTAATTTTGAAGAAAATCATCCACCCCTAAGAGTGGCTGTTCACGCATGAACAGATCATTTTTATAAATAGCGCCTAAATTTTATTATAAGGTGCAATTATATTAATGGTTGATTTTGCTAGTCTCTAATTTAAGGCGTTTTTCTCTTAAAATATACTTTGAGAAGTGAAAACAGATTTTTATTATCTCCTGTATCAAATTCCGTATAGTCGCGAACTAAGGGTTGAATCCGGGCAAAAAAACTTAACAAATAGATGTAGTTCCACGTACTTTTGAGGTCGGTTTTTTTAGTACTGTACCGAGATTATTTGACATGTTTTTCAGAAATTTCATGTTTGACATTGTTCTATTGTTTTTTTTTCGAAGCCTTGCAGTTACTAAATTCACATTTATCACAATATTTGAAAATTGTCCTGCGGGTTAACATCCCACTGCGCCGCCCGCTGTCCCGTCAGTCGCCATCGGGCGCATGTCGATGTCGCATCTGAGTAAAATTTTCTCCGCCTGTTTTTATTTTATTCATATTAATTTTCAGCGCGCGAGGGGTGACCCCCACGCCTCACCTCTTAAAATGTAGGCTCGCTATGAAATAGCTCGCCTTAACGTTGCTAATTTATAATAAAAGGAATTAGTCGTATTGTGACAAGGCTCTTAATCTACCTTTATGTAGCAAAGTGATTATTGTGTCCTCTTTGTTTTGTGCAGGCTTCCTGGGAAACCGTGTACCAACATTATACAGCAACTAGAGCCTCTACCCTAACCCTTCAGTTGCGCGGGCGCCGCCACCGGCTGGGTTCCAGACGCCGCGCCGACATTTTGCCTCTAATGCCCTGGCATTACTTTTCTATCTACGATGACAACCGAGTACTCCTTCAACCTAAAGTTTTTCAGTAACAATCATATCGTAATCTTACGCTTTGTGAAACAGAAACAAATAGATAAGAGAAAAATATAGACATAATCACAAAAATCTGTTAACATGTTTCATATTTATTTATAGACAAACCCTTCAAAATGTCTTAGTAGTTATATAAAACGCTTTTACTTGTATATGTACTGTCTATAGTGTCTGTTTATATTTTTATCATTTTTTATCTAAAGCTGAGTTATTCAACCCCGCTCACGAAAATGTCAGGGATGTACTTGTAAGCTTTTAATCACTAAAGTAAGATTAATAGCGTTGTTGAACGACAACTAAGTTACTTCATTGCCAACGACTTATTTTACGTTCACGGCTCCATTTGAGTTTTTACTTGTTCCTTTAAGATTTTCGTTGTTAAAACTCGTGTGAATAGAATGAGGTTATATAAAACTTTTGCAGGCTATTAATCCATATTATACTCCTTGAGTGTTGATAGACAACGACAAATTGGAAGTGACCGACTATGCGGGACGCTCATTGTTCACACACTTCGTTTATCTTAAAAAATGTATATTTTATTAAATTTATGGCTTTGTAGATACGTTTTAAGGTAATGGTGCATGTAAGCCAGCTCAACATACGCCATCACCTTACTTACCTGTATGTCTTAGTCGTGGCGCGACGCTCCGCACTAAGTACCTCCTGACCCTTTCTTGTTCCATATTAGTAGTATTTTTATACGCTTGTTATTGTTACCAAATGGTGCCGTTTCGTTGTACTGTACTATTAGATCATACTTCACAACCCCATTTGTAGTGTACTCCTACATTGAAATGATTTACGCCATAATTTTAAGGTTGATTATCGCTAGCGCCTACTAGCAAAGTGTTTAATATTAACAATTTTAATAAACAATATCTTAGATAAATGTAACGCAGCCACTAGAAGTTTAGTTTCATAATTTATATGTACAGTGTAGCTGTTACAAAGTCTATATTTTTAAGTTCCATTGATCTCTACTAGCATGTAATACGTAGACGAATGTAATGGTTCGTACAGAATAATTCCGTTCAATAAAAACGTTAACTTATTAACATTGTTTCTGTTACCTTCCTCTAGATCAATGATCCCCAAAGTGGTCTATATCGACCCCCAGGGGTTCACTTCAACCTGCAAGGGTCTATGTCAGAGAAAAAAGCATAGCAAGTGCATGACACGTTATCGGGGATCCACGATAATGAATCCTATTCATGTCGTAACCATTCGATGACCTCTGTGGCCCAACGGCTTATACTGTGGGCGCTGGATGAGGATGTCCCGGGTTCGATTCCCGGTAGGACCAAAGTGAGAAATTAACTTTTTTTACATTAGTGCTGGCCTGGGTGTTATGAGAAGTGCCCCAGGTTGAGTTTCTCGCCTTTCCATCATCGGGGGACTAGACGTAGGCTTGGATTCCACCCCTATCTTGTGGATATTCCAAAGATGCGAATCTTTCGAATATCCACAAGATAGGGATACGAAGCGTTACGCTTCCACATTTATATGGCGAACGGCTATGGAGTGGAATTCCCTGCCTGCAGACCTGTTCCCTGAACGTTATAACTTGGACATTTTCAAGGCGAGAGTGAATAGGCATTATTTAGGTGTGCATGCTCCATCGTCAACCTCGTCCTCACTTTCCACCAGGTGAGATGGAGGTCAAATGTACATGCTTGTTTAAAAAAAAAAGAATTCCGTTGCTCTCGTACTCATAGTACCTATAGGGATTTCCCTAGTTTGAAACCAGGCAATTGGTATGGTTGTCTAGCAAATTATTATTATTATTTTGAATGCCTATTTTAGACTCTCGCCTCCCCCGTGGCCTAAAAGATTATTATTATTGTGGCATGTTTGCCATAGCATATGCCAGAGCAAAGCCAATTGCTGCCTCTTCGGTAAGCGAATTCATTTAATGAAGGCGGTGCTAGCGATGGGGTATTTACACTGTGTCTACTGCCGCCTTCGCCGAAATCACAGAGACTCAACAAAACGTTCAACAAAATTCCAAATCATATAAGTGTGTGTAGATAGTGTCAATGGCAGGATTTTGTACATTTGATATTCTGCTAAAGAGTTAGTAATAATAATAACGCACACACTCAACATAGCCCCGCACTAGGGAAACCCTGTGTCGCGGGTGCCATGGACACACACATTGACAACCACAAATTACACCGAAACTCACGAGATAAATAAATGTAGGTCATACAAATATTTCTCCCGGCCCGGGAATCAAACATGACAACCGTTCGGCCACGGAGGCAGTTAGTGGCTTCTCAGTGGCTAGCCATCGAACAATAGCTATCGTATTTTTTAATTCCTCAATGGCGAGTCGATGGCGTAGTCTACTACTTATTTGACGATTGTTTTGAAGGTTTTTATTTAAAATTAAAGTGCTTATGAAGACTAAGTTAAAAAAATCAGGGTAATATGCATGGTGACAATGTTCTTACATACGTAATCATTGCATGGCATAAATAAAAGTTTTAGAAAGGCAACGTCGATCGTTAGTAAATGAATGAATTAATGCCGTCACTGCTATTCCACTGATAGGGCGCGTTCGCATTATGTCGTAACGTTTATTTAACGTTAGACGACTGTCGCGTCTAGCCTGTTCCCATATCACGACTGTCTGTCGTGACTATGTCGTGGACTTTTTTTTATCGGTGAACGACTGTCGTATCTAGCTATTCCCACTGGACGGTGACGACAATTTATTGTTCGGTAGCCGCGTTGTCGTTTGCACGACAGAATCGTTTGAAGCTGCGATTATATGTCGTCACATTTTATCGTGACGTTTTATTCATCGTCAGACGATTGTCGCTCTAGCTTTTACCATTTTTACGACACACATGTAACGTCAAAAAAGTCGTGAACGACAGTAAATCGTGTTGTACTACACAGTGTGTTGATTTGCATTCTCACCATATTTAAGAAATTAATAATAGAAATAATGCTAAATGATCTAAAAATATTTTAAAAATTATTCTGTTAAATATTCTGGCTAATTGTATCTAGTAAAGTTTTGCAAAATTGTCTCAAGTCGTATACATCACGCAAGGCCGGTAATCCTGCCACACGCTTCACCAAGCGATACGTAATCTTTCTCGATCGCCTATTTACCTATTTTTTTCAATTATGATTATGTACTAGTATTGTTATAATTTACTATTTATTTACATTAATTAGAAAAGTTGACTGAAAAAGTTTTCTGTAACTTAGATTTGGTACTTACCAACTTTAGGTTATATGAAAGTATTGCTAGAAGTACCAAGCTCCACAGCCACAGCCACACAGCCACAGATGGTAGCTGGCTCCGTACCGAAGCTACCACCAGCTAAGCAGTGATTCGCACATGAGTTTCGTTTCAACATTAGACTCCACAACTTTGAAAACAGAATCTTCGACATTCGTATCCTCCGCGTAAACTAAACGTTTCACATAATGCTATAAGAATAGACACGCACTTGTACTTGATGGATTACCATGCAGGTTCTGGTGAACCTGGTGGCGGTTCTTTTTTGCACTACTAACTCTTGTTTTCATACCAAGCCACGTGGCATTTCGTGACAGACTAGAATAGAATTTATGCAGGATGCCAGCGTGACGTAGACGCAGTACGGGAAGCAAGGTCGACCGATCTACCAATCGCACACTCGATGCGATACTCCCCCGCCGTCGCTACCCGCACCCCACCACCAAATAGACCTAAAATGCGTTTCTTTATTTCGCATTTAAGGTCATTGTTCAAAATGTTTACAAATGACGATGCCGTGCAAGTCCTATGACCTTTGGATCAAATTTGTTTACATAAAAAATAGGAATTTACGAAGTTTTTTTCGATTTATTTTTTTGGGATTTAAGTTCAGTTTCGAATATAGAATGACCTCTGTAAATATGGCGAGAATGCAAATGCAGTCGCATCTATATCGTTTGCATCGCGATTTTATCGCTGCTTAAAAAGGCGCACGTGTGTAAAGGTAGACGATTAGCGACCGTATACTTGCTAAAAGTCACCATGTGTAACCGCTCTAAGAATAGACTAGACTTGATTAAATAAATGTATAAAACTCAACACGTATTTTTTTTCACTCCCAATAAAAGTATACCAAGTGATGAGACGAATAAGTCGTCTGTCCATAGCAGTTGCATTGCCACTCAGGGCTTTAAGCCGCAAAGATTTGAGGGGCAGTGCCACTGCGCCCGTCACCCTGAGAAGCTGACAAGTCCCATATGCCTGTGATGTCTACAGCATCCTTACCCTTTAAAACCGGAAAACAGTATTTTTTTTTTGTATAACATTAAGTGACGGGACGAACAAGTCGTGCGTCTGATGGCAAGCTACACGCCTGTCCATAACAAATGCAGCGTCACTCAGAGCTTTAAATTGCAAAGATCTGAGGGGCACTACCACTGCGCCCGTCACTCTGAGGCACAAGTTGACAAGTGTCATATGCCTGTGATTTCACCAAATGCTCACATTACCGGCGGCGGCGGTAGAAATAGGTAAGGTGGCAATACTTCCCTAGACGAACTCTTTCACAAGGAGCTCCACTGCTACTCAACTTATTTAAGTGTAAGTACTGTGTCAGTGTCGAAAACATATTTGAAGTAGATGAATTTATAAAAATTCTAGAAAGGCCTCTGCCTTTCTGCCGTCTACCTAATACGGAAAAAACTAGCACATTTTCTACGAGACAAAAAACTTTAGGGTCCTCTGTATTATTTTCAAATAAACTGCGTTATAAATTTTTATTAAATATTAACTGGGAAAGCTTCATTAATGAAACTAAATTTAGCCATGATAATAAGTTATCCATTATAATATACATATAGTTGACTAATTTTAAACTATTTGCGAAACTATGTCTTTGATATAACTTTCGCCAATGTACGCTGTGCTGGAGGAATCCATGATTATAATCACACGTATTGTGATGTAGCTGCATACTGAAATTCCCTTGACTGTAATTATTTTAGATTCGTAGGTGCCTTCCACAAAGGAAGGATTACTTCAAATTAAAATTCTATGAATATTAGGCTCGACTCAACTACGGTACCTCTATGGCATCTCTTTGAAGACAGTAATTAGATTTTGTGACTAAACCTTATAAAGGCTTAATTAAAACACAATATTGTAAATATACTATGCACAGTCAATTTAAAAAAAAAATATTTCATTTTATTGGATAAGGTACAGCAACAGATTACAGATCAGAATATGACATCAACAAAAACTATTCTACATGAATGAATATAAACCTGCAATCCAATTATAGCTATATAGAACACTTTAGGAAAAACAGTGGACATTTAAAACCTAAAATAAATTCTTTGAATATGCTAAACAAATAAAAAAAGAGAATAAAAGATAAAAAAACAAAGCTTACGTAACGAAATTTAGATGGTGGATTTGAATGAAGGAGTCTTCTAAAACTGTTATAACTACCATTATACAGATCATGGTCAGAACAGACATCATTGTAATATCTACACATTCTGAATATTGACTTATTACTCAAGACGTTGTTGATAGAATGTGGAATACAGAATAGAAATTAAACTTTATTAGTTATTATTAGTTTTTATACATAAAAAACATAGTGATAGAGAATGGTATGCTATGCAGCAAGCTTTGTTTTCTACCAATGACTTTATACATATTATATAAACACAATATTTACTTAAACTGAAATAGTGTTATAAGAATTATCTGACACTTTATAACTGGTCAATTTGGACATTTAAAACATGACTTCGCCTATTTCAGTCATAAAAGTACGTATAGCTTTAAAAACAAACAATTTTACAAATTGGAACTCACTCATACCATTCAATAGAATTTGTTATTGTGGCCTTATAAAGGAAACATTTACAATTCTTCGCCTATTCAACTTAAAAAAGAAAATATATGTAATGTATAAAAAATATATAATGTTCCTAAAAAGGAAACTTTTGCAGTTCGTTCTCATTCTCACCACTTAAATGAGTATGTACAGACCTAAAA